GTGACCGAGCCTTCGCCTCAGCAGCGGACGAAGCAGACTGGGATGAACAGAACGTCGACAACGCATCGGAGGAAGCCGGACCTCTCCCGTACTCCTCCGTCGACGTGCCCATGGATGAAGATAATCCTCGCGACAGTAACAACGCCGAAGTCTTCTACCATTTCGCCGACAACGGTTACGTAACACCTGCGACAGTCAACACCACCGAAGCAGAAAGGATAGGGCCAAATTTCATACCCGACCCAGAAGCAGGAGACGAAGCAGCTTATCCCGAGGATCCAGGACTCCCTCGATACTCACAGACTGGGCTGCAAATCCTCGGTCTCGTCACCGCAGTCCACGGGAACGCCGGCAACACTCTTCCTAAAGAGCCTGCGACAGTTCAGCAGGCTCTGGGGGGGGAACACAGGGAGAAATGGCGTGAAGCCATGGATAGGGAATTAAAGGCATTGGAGGAACGCAACACCTGGAAGGTCGTTCCCGCAAGCGTGGCACGGAACAAGACCATTCTCACCGGGAAATGGGTCTTCCGCATCAAGACGAAAGCTGATGGCACAATCGAGAAGTTCAAAGCACGCTGGGTCGTGCGTGGATTCGACCAGGAACAAGGACGAGACTTCACCGAGACTTTCGCCCCAGTTAGTCGACATACCTCTCTTCGAATTCTCCTTGCCGTCGCCGCCATGAAGAAGAAAAAGTTGCGACAGATCGATGTTGCCAACGCATTTCTCTACGCACCCGTTGACGCCGAAATCTTCGTCGGACTCCCACACGGCACTCACGGAAACCCCAACCAAGTCTGTCAACTACTGAAATCGCTCTACGGAATCAAACAAGCCCTGCGACTGTGGCAACAGCACCTACACACCCGCCTCACCCGCATCGGATTCCGACAACTGCCTCACGACCAAGGAATGTATCGCCTCACCAAAGGCGCAGACTACATCTTACTGATCGTCTATGTCGACGACTTGCTTTACATCGGCTCCACCGACGACGTCATCACCTGGTTCGAAGGGGAGCTGCAGAAGGACCTCACACTCACCGTCTCCTCCACCGTCACCCAGTATCTCGGACTCAACATCCGCGAAGAAGAGAACGCTATCTACCTCAACGCCGAGAAATACGCCGACACTATTGCCAAGCGCTTCTCGCTCACACCTACCGCCATCGCCACGCCATACCGCCACACGACAGTGTGAAATGAGTAAGCAGGAATGAAATGACTAAGGAAAGATTGGGTACAAATACAACCCTAGAAACCCTGTACCCCATGTGTGCTACCCCACTATAGCCTACAGCAACTATGTCATATAAATCTGACACACCCCCCTAGGCAAAGTGGGGGAGAACAAGGGGTCACAAGACCAGTCAAGCAAAACAAAGCAAGCTCAGGGTGGATCACAAAGTCACCACACAGTCCGAGCGCAAGAGTAGGGCCAGAGGCCAGTTCACATGCAGGAGTACAGACATATATATAAAACTAGACAAACATGAGTAGGCATATATATATGTCACAGTACAAGTGAAGTCAAGAGGAGAGCAAGTGAGGCAAGACACGCACAAGACCCAGCTGGGTGCAAAAGCGCTGATGGTCACAAGGCGCGAGTGCCTTGGTGAACACATCAGCAGTGTTGGCCTCAGAGGCCACGTATGCAAGTCGTAACTGACCACGCTGCTGCAGCTCACGAGCAAGGAAGTAGCGGAGAGCAATGTGCTTCGTTCTGTGCTCCAAGCGCTGCTCTCGACACAAGGCCAGCATGGCCTTGTTGTCTACGTACAGCACTGGAGGAGAACGAGGCGGCTCTCCAAGGTCAGTCAGTAGGTAGGTGAGCCAGCGAAGCTCCTGTGCAGCCATGGCCCCGGCGTAGATCTCAGCCTCACAACTGGAGCCGAGAACTGAAGACGAGCGAGTAGACCGCCACGAGACAGAGCCACCTATCTCAAGAAACCCGAAGCAGAGCACATGGCGGAGCTCGATCTTGCACTTCACTACTTCGTGAGCACACCGACGATCGGCCTGACCTACCACAAGGGCGAATCTACGACAATGAAACTGATCGGCTACGTCGATGCTGACCATGCCGGCGATTCCGATAACAGGCGTTCTCGCACTGGCTACGTCTATCGTCTCGAGCCTATCGGACCTATCTCCTGGCAGTCGAGTAAGCAGGAACTAATCGCTCTCTCTTCAGCTGAAGCAGAATATATCGCCCTCTGCTCAGCCACCAAGGAAGGACTCTACCTTCGCGAGCTGTTGGAAGAAGCAAAGTTAGCCGAGTTACCCAACTTCACCCTGTTCTGCGACAACCAATCTGCAATTCGCATTGCCAACAAAAGCGGATTCGCGAACAGAACGAAGCATATCGCTCTGCGATATTTCTTCGTGAAGGACGAGATCGAGAAAGGGAAACTCGAATTATCCTACTGTCCCACGTCCGAGATGGCAGCCGATTATTTGACCAAGAAACTCGGAAAACAGAAGTTCGAGTACTGCATGCTGCTGACTGGACAAGGCCACGTCACCATCAGCGACACTCCAGAAGCGAAGGGGAGTGTTGGGAACAATAAGTCTTAAGCGCCCCTGTCGTGTCGAAACTCAGGACACTAGCGAAGCAGTCCGAATCGAAGCATCGCGAGTCAACCCTCGAAGGTTAGGGTAACCGCCTGGAGGTTACGGGAAAGTCAAAGGTCAGCGACCTTTGACTCGACAATTACTGCGCGACAGCAAGGACACACAACTGACTCGACATTGAGCAGTTGCCCGAGTCGCACTGTATCGAATCGCAACAGTAAAACGGTTTGAATTTATCTATTCGTATTCCTTGTACTCTTATATAAACCTTGTATTTGCTTGTTTAATCAACTTACTTTGCCCTCACATACTAGCGCAAGGTGGTTCAATCACTCTTTATTTCAAACGCTTCCGCTATTACAATCCTACTCAGACCTTAAGCTCTACAAAGATCCTAAGGCTTCTCAGCCCAACAGTGTGAAGATTGGTCAGCTGGCCAATGTCTTCTGGAAGCTCCAACTGCGGCGATTCCACCAGCTGCAGGCACTTGAGTGATGTGAGGCAGCCAAAACCCTCTGGCAGGGAGTCCAAGTTGGGGCAGTCCATGATGCAGAATGTCTCCAGTGAGGACAGCTGGCAGAAGGAGGTAGGAAGCCTTTTGACCGCTAGTGGGTGCTGCACCAATGTCTTTAGTGCTGAAAGATTGCCAGCTCCGTTGGGTAGCTTGGCCAAGCGGTAACAGGAGGTTCTCAAGCTCTTGAGGGAGGTTAGAGCAGCGAAGTCCTCTGTTATATCGGTGAGGGATGCACAGTAAGTGAAGGTGAGATCTTCAAGGCATGGCAGTACCTCCGCAATATCATCGAGAAGCCGCTCCTGCTTTTCGCACTGGATGAGGTGCAGCCGTTTCAAGCGCAAACACTGCGACACCAGAGAAAATATATCATTGAATGGGGCTCGGTGAAACCCAACTTTCAGCGACTCAAGAGAAGGTAGCAGCGAGAATGTGAAGGCCGGCGGGCCTTCAAAGTCGACCAACATGTTTCCCGGTAGGTCGAGACACGTGAAGCGTGTAAGGTGGACGAGGCTGGAAAGCTGCTGATAATCCAGGTCGGAGGTTTCGATGGAGAGGGACTTGAGGGAAGACAAGCTCTTCAGCTCTGGATGCTGTAAGATGACCGATGAGTTCAGGAGAAGGACGCGCAAGCGTGGTAGCTTGAACAGGGATGCTGGTAACTTGTCATCTTTACGAAGACAGCAGAGCGGCAGCTCCTCCAAGTGAGTGCAGTGGCGGAAGAAACCATCCAGGCGAGCTTCGATTAACAGACGCTTCCCCCTCCAGTGTGGGGCCTTGTCCTGTGCTATCAACTCCCCCACATGAAATGCTGTCAGCCGGCATGACGAGGCAAGCTGGGCAAGGAAGTGGTCGTCCAGATTCTCCATGCTGCCATCGCTGAGATGGACATGCGTCAGCTTTGGGAAGCAAGCGACCGCATTGAGCACATTCGTGTGAGAAATGACGCGATCTCCATCGACGTGGAGCGACGATACATGTCGCCGAGCGAGACGCCGCCATCGATGGCGGATGGATGCAACAATGAGACTGTAAGCGGGGACTGTGGAGGTAGGGGGGGTGGATCTTTGGTCAAGGAGCTCCTTTGGGGTAACGTTTGTACGGATGTACTTTGGTTAGGAAATAAAGACCTCCACTCGGAGACGATATCGAATTCAAATAGCCGGGAAGGCCAAAGGATTTTAACGAGGAAATCATCAGGGAGATCATTAATGTGCGTTGCTGAATCCATACAGAAGTTAAGTTGATATTACGACAGGCAAGGTAATGCTATAAGCTGGGATGGTCGCGCAATTACGGGGATAACAAAGAATACGAACACTATCACCTGCTCAAGCTTGAATCCTTATATCAAGTTCAAAGCTTTGGCAGGGAGAAGTGCTAGGGGGAATTCAAGGTTTGCTGGGAATGGGATGGAAGCGGAAAATCGGAAGGGTTTGTGAAGGTTTGTGAAGGGGTGGAATTGAATGGGAGAAGAGGAGCAGGTACGGAGGGGAAAGTGTCAAACCAGCAAGTTTGGGAAGAGCATGGTCTGGGCAAGCACCCAAGTTCGCCCCTCCTAAGGCAAGCCTTGGCTGGTTTGGAAGGTTTGGTTGGGAGGTTAGAAAATTGACGAAGCATCTGTCAGCTAGGCTGGGACACACTCGACTTTCTCAAGATATGGGGGTTCATTCATTGATGCAGCTGGCGACATCTCAGATAGTGCGAATCCAGTAACCCCTGAACGATGGATTTCGCGCCTTGGCAGAAAAGTCCTCGCACACCCCACCAGAAACAGTTGTCCAGGAGGGAAGGGCAGTGGGAAAGAGCACAAGCGAGCTTCAATCTCGCCAGAATCCCTGAAACCTGCACTGCAGTCTTTGCAGATCCGCATAGACAAAAGCTTCCAGCACATAGGCGTTCATTGGAAATTACATGGCTACCACGATTAGCGATCTTACGGATGATTTGCTCGACAAGATAATATGGTACCCTCAAGAGTCCGTTTCTAGCCAACTCGAAGTTAGTTTTCCGGGGGCCTCCGTGTCACCTAGGCCGACATACACCTCCGAAAGGCCGTATGGTGATGAATCGTTCCTATCTACCCCTCCTGCTTCCGCAGACGCCGCGTTCAGTCTTCTCGTCACATCCGTTTGCCGTAGATGGCGTCGTCTCGCTCAGAATCGCGTCTCCACCTTGCTTGTGAAGGATCACCAGGTTGTTTCTCTTCGTGACCTAACCGCCGCTGTCAAGTGCTTCCCGAACCTCACCCACGTGCATCTGAGCGACAACAGCGTCGAGACCATCGACGACACCTTCCTCGCTCACCTCGCTTCATCGAGCCCTAAGCTGAAGGCTCTCCATGTGGGAAAGGAGATTACGCAGAGTTACGGATCATCGGATAGGAAGGACGAGCACCCGGTGACCGAAGCAGGCTTGGATCAACTCTTCCGTCGCTGCACGCAACTGCAGCACTTGTCTTTCTATTGTCTGCATCCAAACGCGAAGCTGCCTCCAAGTTTTTATCAGCTGAGCAGTCTACACACTCTAGCTCTGACCGATAACTCGGCTCGAGAGGCTCCCAGATTCACCAACCTGTCTTCCCTCGCATCTTTTTCCGTAGAAACGGTTGACGGCTTTCCCGATCGGTTACAGATATCAAGCCTCGCTCCTCTCTCAGCCCTCACCAGTCTCTCCTGCTGTAATGAAACATGGTTGACAGCGTTCCCAATCGCACAGCTTCCGTGTCTGAAGTCGCTAGAGTTGGAAGCGGGGAGTCCGCGGTTCGACCTTTTGTTTCCGCCGGATCAGCCATGCAGCAGCCTAGAGAAACTGTTTCTCGGCAAGATCTCTGAGCTGCTGAGTCTTCCTGACGGCATAGGGGAGCTGCTGCCACGTCTCCGGGAGCTGACCATCAGCGATCGCGAAAATCTCGCCAATCTGCCTGACGGGTTCAATTCCCTCACCTCCCTGCAGAGGTTGACAATCTCCCAAGGCAAGCTGACCAGCCTGCCCGAAACCTTCGGAGAGTTACCCGCGCTGACATCGCTCTCGCTCGATCTGCCGGAGCTCACGCATCTCCCAGATTCGTTCTGCCTGCTCACTGCTCTGAAGATCCTGAATCTGACCAACTGCAAAGCCCTCCGCAGACTTCCTTCACGTCTTAGCGGATTAACGGCCCTTCAATCTCTCAGCGTCTTCAACTCTCCTATCTTGAAGCTTTCGGAAGACATTGGAGACCTGACCAACCTACAGACTTTCCACCTGAATATAGTCCATGCAGAGCTCCCATCAAATCTCACACGGCTCTCCTCACTCACAAGTCTTCAAATCTTCCAGAGCACCCTAAGTGAGCTTCCAGAGGGCATCGGGAAGCTGAGAAACCTGCGCGTGTTGTTCCTCCTCCCTGATTCGAATGCCCTCCCTGACTACAAGCTCCCAGAGTCTGTCACCGACCTTGTGAGCCTTGAGATACTGAAAGTTGGCTGCCTCACTGCAATGCCCAGGAGTTTGAGCAGCCTTGTAAGGCTGAGGGAGCTGATGCTGAGCAAGACCCCGCAGCTGCCAGAAGCCGTAATGACCCTGCCAACATCACTCGAGACACTAAGCGTGGGGAGCTACCAGCTGCTCGTTCCCCTGCTGGAAATCCCAGCACTGCCTCGGCTCAGGGAACTGAGCTTGACAAGTGTTGGCCTGCTGCGTGGTCTGAACACCGACGTTGTTCTTCCATGCCTGGAGCATTTGGAGCTGGTGCTGCCACGGGATGCAGAGGATCTCCCAGTGCCACTGGCAGCCGTTTCCAACATCCGCAGCTTGACAATTCGGGATGGTGGTCGCTTGTTGAAGCTTCCGGATGAGGTCGGCTCAACGCTGCTGCAGCTGAGGCAGCTGCGCATTGAAAAGGCTCAAGAAATGGCAATGCTGCCGGCGGCTGTTACGCAGTTACAGTGTCTGACATCCATCGAGATCCATGCTCCCAGATTTCAGTTCCTCCCGGAGGAAATTGGTGCTTTATTGAGATTGCGCGTGCTGAATTTGGCTGACTGCTTGAGTTTCAAACAGCTCCCGGCTTCTCTCATGCAGCTCTCCTGCCTTCATCACTTGAACCTCCGCAACACCTCCATCTGCTCCTTGCCTCCCAACTTTGCAGCGGTGAGCCGGCTCAAGAAGCTTGACCTGTATGGATGCAAGCAGCTGGAGTCTCTTCCTGACGATGTCACGCAGCTCAAGATGCTTTATAGCCTGAATCTTACAGGCTGTGACAAACTGTTGGATTCGAGAAGCTTTCCCATGGGTGTGATGGGTATGTACGGTTTGGATGTGGAGACTTGGGAAGAAGATGGTGATGGGCCCTGAATGGTATGCAGATTATTTGGTCGGAAGTCTAGTTGTGAAAGGAAACGGTGAGCACGTCACAGGCGGTTTGCTTGAGACATCCGTAGGAGAGTTGCATGCACCCGCAACGCCATCATCATCAGAAGAGAAGGCCTCGGCTCTGAAGCGGCAGCGGCAGCAGCAGCAGCGGCGGAGGCGGCAGCAGCGGCGGCGGCAGCAGCGGCGCAGCGGCGGCGGCGGCGGCGGCGGCGGCGGCGGCGGCGGCGGCAGCAGCAGCAGCGGCGGCGGCGGCGGTGACAGCGACAGCAGCAACTGCCGTAGCGGTGGTGCTATCAGTACTAGCAGTAGCGACAGCAGCAACTGCCGCAGCGGTGGTGCTATGAGCACTAGCAGTAGCGACAGCAGCGGCGCCTCTCCCTGCTCTCCCGCCTCCTCCTCCTCTTCCTCTACCCCCTCCTCGTCCGCCTCCTACTCAACAACTGCGAAAGGCTGTCAGGATCCATCCCCTCGGGCCCGCTCCCTGCCATCGAGGAGAAGATTGCGAACATTACCGCCAGCTCCACCACTCCAGGACACCGCTCGCCCAATCGGAATTAGGGGGCAGCTCGCTGCTTTGGCAGTAAAAGGGGGGCGGGGGGAGGAGTGGAGTAGCAAGAGGGTGGGGGGTGGGTAGAAGGTGAGGGGGAAGGAGACAGGTGGGGAGTGGTAGCAGCGGAGGGGAGTATGGCGAGCAGGTGTGTGGGGTGAGGGCTATGCACGGTAACGACAGGAGGAGCTGTGGTGGTACCTCAACCTTGCCATCATGATTCTGAGGCGATGATGTTTGTGGCGGATGGTGTGGGGAGAAAGGGGGGGAGGGGGAGCTGAGGTGGTAACCTTGCCTTTTTGAGGCGATGGTGTGACAGGTTGTGGCGAGAAGAGGGGGTGAGGGGGAGGGGAGAGGCGAGGGGCTGTGGTAGAGTGCGCTGTTGTACGTACTGACGAGGGGGGTGAAGGGGTATGTGCAGACTGTATTGTAGAGGCGTTTGGGTATGGCACAGGCTGTACTGGAGCTTGGGGAGGGAGCAGAGCAGAGCACGTCGGAGTGGGAAGGGGAAGCGCCTCTCTTTGATATGTGCGCCCTGGAGAGGTTGCTAAGCTGCAAGCATGAATCAAGGTGGGTGAGTTAGGATTGGTGTTTGGAGGTGGTTTGCAGGTGGAAAAAACATTTGAGCATGACAAGCAGTAGCCATGGGAGTGTGGGGTCATAGTAGTGGGTCACGAGGGAAGTAGTATGAGTACCTTTTTACATATTTGTGTTCAAGAGTTAGATGCGGTGGCACGCCGGGTGGAACGAATGAGAATGGATCGAGGGGACTTGTTCTAACATTGTGTGTTGGAGAAATTCCTGAAGTGCCAAGGGTGATTGGAGGTGGTTTTCGGGTGATCTGGGCTGCATGAGTGTGGTATTTGCATGTGATAGAAACACTTGGGTGCCCACTGGACTGTGGTGAAGACGTGATGCTTCTGGGGCACAAGGGGGATAGAGTAAGTTTCAGACAAGTGTTTGCTGGAAAAGAAGCTGAAGCTGTAAGCGGGATGAAGAAAGGTGGAATTGAGATGACTTGTGAGTATGCACTATTTCTGATTCATGGGTATTCTATGGGCCATGTCATGGGTATGGTGTGAGATGGTATGGATTGTTTATGATGGATATGGTTTGGACATTGTATGGTTGTATGCATGTATGGGCATGAGTCTGGACTGGGCATGCGTCTGGTGGCGGATATGGGCATGGGTCAGGCGAACATCATGACGTTTGTGCACGCCACGGACAGCGCCACTGGATCAAATCTCTCAATGCGGAAGAGCAACTCGGAAGAGCAACTCGGAAGGCCAGAGCTCTCCGTATAGCCCTCGGATGCCCGCGTCTGCCTCTGGCCTGCCCATGCCTGAGCGGGTCGTGAGGTATCATGACGGCCATTTGGCGGATCGCTTGCACCTAAGCCCTTGTCGTGTACAGGAGCACGTGAAATGGGTAATCAAGGGCCCAAAAGCCACCCCATTGCAGCTGTCATGTGTCGTCAAGCCCACCCCATTGCAGCTGTCATGTGTCGTCAAGCCCACCATCTGGGCGTCCCCTTGGGAGAAAGAAAAACGTTGCCCAAACGTTGCCCATTCCTCCCCTTCCCCCACCCACCCGCACCCCCAGCTCGTCCAGCGGATCATGGTGGTAGGGCGCTATGGCGTGCGTCTCTTCCCGCCCACCCTCCTTGCTTTCCCATGCTCCTTTCTTCTCCCTCCCGCCTCCCCTGCCGCACCCATCCCCATCCCCCGCTTCCCGCCTACCCCTTTCCCCACCTACACCCGCAGCTCTTACAGCGCAACATGGGGAGGCAATACAACGTGCACCTCTCTGCGCCTTACCTCCTCCTGGGGCCCTCTGGGTTCCACGGCACTGCCACTCGTTTCCACTCCCTCATGTCCTTCTCCCGGGCAGGTTGTGAGTGGTGAGGGGGATGGTGAGAGCCCTGGATGGTGGGGAGAGGGGTGGATGGTGGGGAGAGGGGTGGATGGTGGGGAGAGTGGTGGATGGTGGGAAAAGGGGTGGATGGTGGGGAGAGTGGTGGATGGTGGGGAGAGGGGTGGATGGTGGGGAGAGGGGTGGATGGTGGGGAGAGGGGTGGATGGTGGGGAGAGGGGTGGATGGTGGGGAGAGTGGTGGATGGTGGGGAGAGGGGTGGATGGTGGGGAGAGGGGTGGATGGTGGGGAGAGGGGTGGATGGTGGGGAGAGGGGTGGGTGGTGGGGAGAGGGGTGGATGGTGGGGAGAGGGGTGGATGGTGGGGAGAGTGGTGGATGGTGGGGAAAGGGGTGGATGGTGGGGAGAGTGGTGGATGGTGGGGAGAGGGGTGGATGGTGGGGAGAGGGGTGGATGGTGGGGAGAGGGGTGGGTGGTGGGGAGAGGGGTGGATGGTGGGGAGAGGGGTGGATGGTGGGGAGAGTGGTGGATGGTGGGGAAAGGGGTGGATGGTGGGGAGAGTGGTGGATGGTGGGGAAAGGGGTGGATGGTGGGGAGAGTGGTGGATGGTGGGGAGAGGGGTGGATGGTGGGGAGAGGGGTGGATGGTGGGGAGAGTGGTGGATGGTGGGGAGAGGGGTGGATGGTGGGGAGAGGGGTGGATGGTGGGGAGAGGGGTGGGTGGTGGGGAGAGGGGTGGATGGTGGGGAGAGGGGTGGATGGTGGGGAGAGTGGTGGATGGTGGGGAGAGGGGTGGATGGTGGGGAGAGTGGTGGATGGTGGGGAAAGGGGTGGATGGTGGGGAGAGTGGTGGATGGTGGGGAAAGGGGTGGATGGTGGGGAGAGTGGTGGATGGTGGGGAAAGGGGTGGATGGTGGGGAGAGTGGTGGATGGTGGGGAGAGTGGTGGATGGTGGGGAAAGGGTGGATGGTGGGGAGAGTGGTGGATGGTGGGGAAAGGGGTGGATGGTGGGGAGACGGGTGGATGGTGGGGAGTGTGGTGGATAGTGGGGAGACGGGTGGATGGTGGGGAGTGTGGTGGATGGTGGGGAGACGGGTGGATGGTGGGGAGGGAATGGGGAGGGGAGTGGATGGTGGATTGCCAAGGCGATGGGGTTGTGCTTGTTGGTCTCTCCCCTCCCATTTTCCAACTCCTCCCTGCGCACTCACTTCCTCCTTACTTTCCACCCGTACTTTCCAGCAATTGCTGCTCTTCCACTGTGAGCGAAGATCCTCCCTGCGCACTCACTTCCTCCTTACTTTCCACCCCACACCCTCACTTCACCCTGCCCCCCTCCCTCCCTACACCAGGTATTGTTCGACACGAGTGCAGGCAAGGTGGCGGGGGACGCTGATGGCGTCATTCATTCTGGCGTGTGAGGCGCAGGGAGCTCATGGGGGTGCTGATCGATACCTCGCCACTTGGCAGATGGTAATTGGCGATTTGCTCCTCGCTGTTGTGAAAGGCGTGGATAACGAAGGCTGATAAGAGGAAGAACACACTGCTGGAGTAACCACCAAGGGCCAGAAGGGAGGCGTGAGGAGAGCGGTGATCTTGGCTCTGTGTGCCTGTCGAATAGCGCATGCAGAGAGGGAGGAAGGGGTAACAACAGGCAAGGGTGGGCAAATAGCTGTGGGGATGAGTGGTGGGGGACGGGATAGACGGGAGCAGGGCCAGCAGAGATATTGGCAGAGGCACGATGGGTATGGTATGATACACTGGAAGAGTCAGAATGAAGAATAGGGTGTGTGGGGAAAAAGGGGGGATAGAGCGAAAGCAACGAACATTTACAGATATGGAAGGGCGGAGAGAGCTGTAGTGCACACCACAGTGCCCCGCAATGATGCGCGGAAGAGGAGAGGAGGGTGAGGGGGGTTAAGGGGAAAATGCAGAGGAGGGAGGGAGGGAGGAAAAAGCATGGCACGAAAGGTAAGCAAGCAAGGAGTGCTTTAACACATAGCGCCCCACCATGATGCGCTGAAGAGGTGGAAACTGTGGGGTTTCCGGTGGAGTATTGGGGTGGGAAGGAGAAAGACACAATGAGGAAGAGAAAAGGAGGCAGGGCGGGGAGAGGTGCACGCTGTAGCGCCCTTCCATGCTGCGGAGGACGAGTGAGGAGGGCGGGGAGCGGGATTGGGAGCGGGGGGAGAAAAGGGAGGAGCATAAAAGTGCAAGAGTGTGGATCTCCTGGCGTCTGGCTCCTGGTTTGTAACTTAAAGCCAAGTGCATGTGGGAACAGGGCCAAAGCTGTTTCACACAAACGATCACAGTGAGACAATGGTGCGATGGGGTAAAGGGATGATGGGGTCATGGGGTGATGGGACTGACCTGAGACTCGCTGACTGAGACTGACGTGAGACTCGCTGACTGAGACTGACGTGAGACTCGCTGACTGAGACTGACGTGAGACTCGCTGACTGAGACTGACGTGAGACTCGCTGACTGAGACTGACGTGAGACTCGCTGACTGAGACTGACGTGAGACTCGCTGACTGAGACTGACGTGAGACTCGCTGACTGAGACTGATGTGAGACTCGCTGACTGAGACTGACGTGAGACTGGCTGACTGAGACTGACGTGAGACTCGCTGACTGAGACTGACGTGAGACTCGCTGACTGAGACTGACGTGAGACTCACTGACTGAGACTGACGTGAGACTCGCTGACTGAGACTGACGTGAGACTCGCTGACTGAGACTGACGTGAGACTCGCTGACTGAGACTGACGTGAGACTCGCTGACTGAGACTGACGTGAGACTCGCTGACTGAGACTGACGTGAGACTCGCTGACTGAGACTGACGTGAGACTCGCTGACTGAGACTGACGTGAGACTCGCTGACTGAGACTGACGTGAGACTCGCTGACTGAGACTGACGTGAGACTAACGTGAGACTGATCCGAGAGCACCCAACAACAGTCACCCAGCACAGACCTTTATATCTCACCTCCTTCTCCCTCTGCTTGTCTTCCAGGAAGGACACGCCCACACGGCACCCAGCAGCCCAGCCCAGCCTCGCCTCACCCGGTGCCCACTAGTGACTCACAAGTACCTACCAAGCAGCCCACTACCCTCAATTCAAAATACCCTCAAAACACCCACCTCCTTCTCCCTCCATCTCCCTCTGATCGTCCATGCAAAAGCGATGCCATGGGTCACCCAGGAGCCCACCTACCTTCGCCTGCGTCTGACCACGTGAACCATGACCATAACTTGCCGACATACTTCCCATCCCACACCTCTTTCTCCCAATGTCCGCCTTTCAAAAGAGAGACGGCCACGGGACACCCAGCAGCCCTGCCCAGCTTCGCCTGCGGCCTCTCGTGCGCCTCTGCCATGCCAGCAGCCTCGACGGTGCTGCTGTGGGGTTGAAGAGTGCGCCCGCGATGTAGCGATGGGAGTCCGTGGAGCAGCAGTAGGTGTAAGAGCAGGTGGCAAGCTGAGAGAGGGGGGAGGGGGAAGCAGCCTCCCGGAAAACATGGGAGCAGCGTTGCCGCAGCTGCTGCAGCTGGAGCTTCTTTCATGGTCACCAGAGGAGCTGCCTGGAGTTTCACTGGAGCTGCGTTCGCTGACGTCACTTGCTATTGAAGCGCCTCAGCTGGTGGCGCTACCTCAGGGCATGAGCCGCTTGTCTCGGCTGCGCAAACTGGAGCTGATTCACTGCAACGTCTTGCAGCACCTCCTGGAGTTTCTCACCCAGCTGCACCATCTGACACTGCGTGATACTTCCATACGCTACCATCATGTGAATCTGGTACAGCTAGTTCAACAGCCTGGAGTGTAAGGGTAGTTGCCTGCAGCTGGATACTCCCTCATTGGACTTGACTGGGGTGAAGGTGCTGCAGTCACTCATGGCCTTCTTGCAATGTCTCACCGCTGGTTGATTCAAAGCCGGGCCTGCACCAGTGTAGCTGGTGCCAGGGTAGATGATGGAAATGCGTAGACTAGGAAGTTTTGAAAAATGTGGGATGCTCACAATTTCTTCTCATGTACCATCTTTTAGAGAAAGGGATGCATAGAGATGTGAGCTGACAAATGCATTCACTCTGAACTATTCATTCTGATGTATGCATTAAGACATATTCACTCTCTTCTTGACTCTGAGTGCACTAATCATTCTGAAATATGATTGGCCTGGATGGCTGGACAAGTGGAGATGGAGTGAAGCGAGTGGCAGGGGAGGTGATGAATGAATGGTTAAATGGATGGGGAATTGTATAGGAATTTGTAGTGTCCTCTCTGCTCCTGCTTCCCTTGCACCAACATTCAAACACTCTCGTTGTGACACCTGAAAATTGAGATACCTGTATGCATCAGCAGAGATACTCTTTCTGAGGTATGTGTCTTCAGATACCGTATGAATGTGAGAGATGCACCCGGAGAGAATGAGCTTGATCTATGCAGAACATTATGCATTCTGAGATGTCACCACTCTCCTCCCAAATTCCCCGTTCCTGTTTTTCCCTCCTCGCAACTCTCCTATCCCCAACCCCTGCCTCCCTTCCATTCCTCTCATAACGTACCCCCCGCCCCACTCCTCTCATCCCCCCCACACCTCTCTCATACCCCCCTCCTCTCGTACCCCCCGCTCATCTCTGTACCCCCACCACCCCCATACCCTTCATTCCTCCCTTACCCCCATTCCTCTCATACCTCCCATTCCTCTCACACCCTTCACTCCATTCCTCTCACACCCCTCCACTCCTCCCTTACTCCCCACTCCTTTCATCTCCCCCACTCTCATGCGCACCACTCCCCCCGCACCCCCCTGTGGTGGGTGAAGGCAGATTGATCATTGCCACCAAGCAGAGCTCTGCTCGGCTCTCTTCTCCTCCTTGACTGCCAGCGCTCAACATTTGAAGGTCAGTCAATCAGGCCCGAGGGCTTCAACGCGATTTTCATCCAACTCATGATGCGATGAGAGATTCAGAATGCAGATGATCATGGTGAGGGATCTCGTATGCAATTCATCATGATTTGAAACATTCAGCATGCTAATCATCATGCCATGAGACATGCAGCATAGTATTATCATTCTACCAATGTGACATTCACCCTCCAAGTTAGCATGCCATTGCACATTGCAAATCATGATTCTATGAGGCATTCTGTAGGCATGTCTATGTGACATCCACCAAGCAAGACATCATGCATTGCACATCACATTCACCATCCAAGTCGTCATGCTATAATACATTCAGAATGCTTTTATCATGTCATGAGCCATCCTAATGCAATACAACATGTGCCTAGCCATTTGACATGCTACTTAACATGCTGGAAGAGATTCAGTGTGTGATTCATCATTCTTTGAAATATTCAGCACCAAATCACAAAGCCATGAGACATTCAGCATGGCAGTGATCATGCTATGGCACTTCAAGAGATGTCTGGTATTCATTCCATCATGCAACTTTGATCATGAATGCGAATTATCATGCCATGAAAAATCATCATGGTCAGAAACATCCAGAATGCTAATCAAAATGTCATGACGCATACTCTTCATCATATGTGGCTTCAGCATGCACATCATCATGGCATGGTACACTCAGCTCGAAAATCATCAAGTCATGAGGCATATAGAGTGCTATTGATCATGCCATGAAAAGTACCACTTCTCTCATACCTCACACTCCCCTCACTCCCTTCGCACATACCCCCAATACCTATCATACCCACAATTCCTCTCATATCCAATAGGCCTCTCATACCCCCCAGGCCTCTCATACCTCACTACTCTCATACCCCCTCATTACTCTCACACCCCAACTCCTCTCATACCCCACTCCGCTCATTCCCATACTCCTCCCATGCCCCCCTGTGTTGGGTGAAGGTACAACCATTGTCGCTACCAAAGTGCTTCTCGTCTCTTGTTCCCCTCCCCGACTGCCCAGCGCTCAACTTAGTAAGGTTACTCTTTAAACAAAGAGCTTCAGCAAGTTTGTCGTGCAATTCATGGTATTATGCAAGATTCAGCATGCAGATTATCATGGTTTGCGGCAAATGTCGCGTTATTAACACTTAGCTGGCAACTAAGTGTGAATTCCACAGCAGCCAAGGTGAGGTGTACTATACGTTACTGCTACTTTGTTTGCTCTTTTTGGAATGTTACTGTACTATACAGAGTCGAGCTACTGAGGAGTTCGAGGGGGTTGGTGAGGAGGATGAGGGCGAATTCGATTCCAGCCAGCCTGGGAATTCAATTCGACATTCACAGGCTGGAAGGCGGTGCATGCCTAGTGGGCCCAGTGGGACCCAGCTAGCACCTTGAAGCCTACGCGATCAGCTCGGCTGACTCGCGCTTAGGAGTAGAGGTAGCTTGCGGGACAAGGCACCTAGGCAGGAGAGGATGTAGACGGAAGTAGCGCTCAGACTCATTGCTTTTTGCTTGTATGTTTCTCATTTACTGCAATTGTGCTTTCCTAATCCACGGGGAACTAGCAGTAGAGAGGAGCAGAAGCAAATCGGCGGAGCCCTTGCGAGGGAGTTAAGCCTTGTTTCATACAAGCAAAAAGAGTGGTCAGGATTACGATTGTTGAGAGTAGAGGTGGCAGGATCTACTGCCTGGAGTTGCTCGCGGTGATGCACCGTGAGGAATGAGTAATTTTGACCGCGAGCTTCACACTCATCAACTGCGCTCTGGACACCGATTCCCGGCGAGGATGATGGAGAGACGTGATCCGCCGGTCAGGATGCCTGGATTTTGGGCAGGCGAAGGAGGGACAAACCCACGCGGTAACCAAGGCGGGGATCGGGAGGAAGAACGAGGTGTACACGGAGAACAACAGCCGAGCTCGGCATGCGACTCGCCCGCGGAGGGGAGTGGAGAGCGACCTGTGGGGAGTGGATCTCGCCGAGGAAATCCAGATCTGGGAGGAGACGATCCACATGAAGATTGACGGAGTCAGAAGGGAGGGGAAGATCATCGAGAAGAACGGCGGAGTCTGAGAGGAGAAGAAGATCAACGAGAAGAAAGGCGTAGTCTGAGGGGAGGAGACGATCAATCGGAGGAACGACGAAGTCAGCGAGGCGGGGAAGCATATCACGGATTCTCTGCCGGAGGATACGAAGCCACGGAGGCCGGGAGAGCAGGGCGACCTGCAGGGAGTGGAGAACGAGGGAGCACAAGCTGGGGGACAGGCAGGTCGATGAGTATTGCACCACCCAAAATTGAGGTACTAGACCGCTTCTCGGGGGCACCTGGAGAGGAGCCCACACTGAAAAACTACCTGATGATGATTGAAGACATTCGCTACTGCTGGGACAGGGAGCGACTGGATCCTATCGAATTTTTCAGAGGCTTGGGGCGGACTCTCAAAGGAGAGGCGTTGACTCATTACCGCGTGGAGAGGCAGGGGCTGCTGATGCGGAGCAACAGAGGAGATATCTTACCGGCAGAGATTACTGACCGTTTCTTGGATAGCCTGCAGGAGCAGTTCCCGGGGCATTCGGCTAACCGGATGGCGGAGTTTCAAGACTTCATAAGAGCGCCGGCAAAGTCGCTGTTGGCCTACTATAACCGTTTACTGGAGCTGGCAGAGGCTATGGGCTGCGTGGAGGAACGCATCCTAGTGACCAAGTTCGTCAACGGGCTGGATGGGGACTTGATACGAGACATGAGAAGCCGACTATACTCCTTGGGGGTACGCGCGAAGCTGCGACAGGTGTACCAGGTGGCGAAAGAAGTGGAGGATGGAAAGAGGTTCTTCGAAGGAATGAGGGGGTCAAGCTCCAATCGGCCGAGCGAACGTTGGAGGCCTGCTTGGGCAGCAGTGGAAGGGAGACAGGGGGAAGAGGAATGAAGAGAGAGGCCGTCTGAAGATAGACGCAGGTGTTACAAGTGCGGCGAGAAGGGGCACGTGCGGAAGGATTGCGCCATAGACATAGTGTGCGACACATGCAAGATGAAAGGACATTTCAGACGTGACTGCCCTAAGGCACCTATCTGCACCGGATGTGGGAAAAGGGGGCATACCAAAGACAGGTGCTACAGCAAGGGAGAGAGAATGCGAGGAAAATCGGCAAAGGAGTTACAGTTAGAGAGAGAGAGTTGGCGAAGTTGAAGGGACAGCTGGAGAAGACTGGGATTGGTGAGGACCCTGAGAAGGCATTGCTGGCTTGGGAGGACCATGAAGAGGAGGAGTATGAGAGAGAGGAGGCGGAGTACGGGGCCATGGCTATACCACCTAGAGGCCGAGAGGAGTTGGGGTTGCGCAGCGGTGAAAAGGATGGCAGGACAGAGTAGAAGCAGCCTGAAAGGAGAACCCCTCGGCAACGAGAAGAAAGTAATAAGCCGAGGACGGCTCGACGGCATCCTGAGGAGAGACTCGTCTGC